GAATATAATACTGATTGTGTACAACTATGTAAAGGTGTTTATTTTTTCATTACTAAGAAGTAATATTTAAACCATGCATGCTAGCACATGCTTTAAAAAAAAACTTTTTTAAAAAATTGATTCTTTGTGGACTTTACATCATGCATCCCAATCCCATTCATTCCCCTGTCCCTTTGTATCTGCCCTCTGCCCTTGCAACCTTCCTACCCTCCGACTCCCCCAAAAGATCTCATCCTGGAAGCTGTAGTGTGGTCCAGTGAGTCACACGGCATACCCTTTAGTCCATACATCTTTACTTGGAAGTGTTCATTGCAATGAGTCATGGGGCTGGCTTGAGGCCTCTGGCTTCTGCTACACTAATGATCCTGGGCCCTCACTGGGGCTCCTCTTGAACATCTTTTTGTTGCCCTGTGTCATGGAGATCCTGCAGCTTTGGATCTGCAGGACCGGGCCCTTCACATGCTCTAGCAGTTCATAGATGGGGTGGATGTTGGGGTGGGCCAACTCAAAGCTCTGGTTCTGGGCCTGCGTGGTAGCTGGCTTGGTCAGCCTGACATGCCAGCCCTCTCTCACCCAGGGTGAGCTCCCCAGCACTGCCCTGGCTAGCTCCCCCGGTGCCACAGGCAGCAAGGGCTGGGGCCGGTTCTCTTGCTCTACTGTGTGGCCCAGGTGAGGCGCAGGGGGGCCCACTCTTCCAAGTGCTGCAGCTGGTGAGGGGCAAGGCCAGCTCTCCTACTCTCATGACCCCAGGGCCTGCTCTCATGCCTGCCCCAGGTGGCAAGAGGCGAGGGGGCAGGGGTGGGGGACATCTCTCCCTTGCCCATGCTGCCACATGACAGAGGAATCGTGGGGCCAGCTCTCCCACACACACACACACACCCTCAGGGCTGGCTCACCCCCACCCTCACCAACAGGGTCGGTGAGGGGCAGGGCCAGCTCTCCCACTCCCATGATCTCATGGCCAGCTCTCCCACCTGCCACAGGCAGGGGTGGAGGGAAGGGTATCTCTCTCTCTCTCTCACCCACACCACCTAATGGCATATGAGGGGTGGGACTAGCTCTCCCATGCTCCCCCTTCCTCCCCCACCAACAGGGCCAGCTCTACTGTGCTGCTCAGACGAGGTTCAGGGCCTGCTCTCCCAAGGGCTTCAGCTGGTGAGGGAGGGGGCCAGCTCTCCTGCCTGCTGTAGGTGGTGAGGGGGTGAAGGGGGAGGGAATCTTTCCCTCACCATCACATGGGAGATGGGGCATGGTGGGGTCAGCTCTCCCACTCTCGAGTCCTCAGGGCCAGCTCACCTGAGACCCGGCCAACACGGTCCGTTCTGCCGGGTAACACACGCTTTTAATCCTAGCGCGTGGGAGGCAAAGGCAGACTGATGTCTAGTCAACATAGAGAATAAGTACTAGGATGGGCAACCTAGAGAGACCCTGCCTCAATAAACAAAAGGCAAACAACAAATAAACAAAGAAGAAGTGATATTTAGAACGGAGGTGGTTTGAAATCTGAAGAGAGTGAATTATGAGTAAGTCCAAATTCAACTAACAACATACTTGACACCAACCTGTATTAGTTACTTTTTAAAAATTGTGACAACGTACCTAACAGATACAATGGAAGGAAGGAAGGAAGGAAGGAAGGAAGGAAGGAAGGAAGGAAGGAAGGAAGGAAGGAAGGAAGGATGGATTCCGTTTGGCTCAGAGTTTGAGGGTGCAGTCAGTCTTTCATGGCGGGGGAGGCATGGTTGCTGTGGGATGTTCTGTATGGCAAATGTGTTGCTAATTAGTCAATAAATAAAACACTGATTGGCCATTGGCCAGGCAGGAAGTGTAGGCGGGACAAGGGGGAGAATAAAGCTGGGAAGTGGAAGGCTGAGTCAGAGACACTGCCAGCCGCCACGATGACAAACAGCATGTGAAGATGCCGGTAAGCCACGAGCCATGTGGCAAGGTATAGATTAATGGAAATGGATTAATTTAAGCTGTAAGAACAGTTAGCAAGAAGCCTGCCACGGCCATACAGTTTGTAACCAATATAAGTCTCTGTGTTTACTTGGTCAGGTCTGAGCGGCTGTGGGACTGGTGGGTGATAGAGATTTGTCCTGAGTGTGGGCCAGGCAGGAAAACTCTAGCTACACATGGTGATACCCATTATATTGAATCCAGTCAGGAACTAGAAAGCAATTAACGCTGGTATTCTCCTTACTCCTTCGTGGACACACCTAGGTTTTTCTCCTAGGTCCCGTCAAATTGATGCTATTAACCACCATACCCCTCATTTCACGAGGCCTTGGCTTGAGTTTGTCTAAAGGTGACTGCCATGACTAGGCAAAAAGGCAGTCATATGTCAGCGGCTCTGGACTTGATCCTCGATTTCCTACGTGACCTTGAACAACCTAGACTAACCTTTTTCCGTCTGGCTGTTCTTTTGCTGGGAACGTGGGTCTTATTGTCACAAAGCGTTCTTACTTCTTTTCGAGACTGCTTTCAGCATCACGTTTCCAAAATCTTCCCCAGAGTCCTCTCCTCTGCAGGAAGCACCGCCAGTGAGTGGCAGAACTGATTGTTGACATACCGGTCTCTCTGGAAATGAATTCCTCAAAGCATAGAACTGCGTCCTATGTATGCATTTAACTGGAGAGACCATAAGTACAGGCTCCGGAGCCAGGCGGCCTGAATAGGAAGTCTGGTTTTGCCTCCAATGGCCTTGAGACCCGTCTTAGATCAGCGTGAACTTACAATTTGTTCATCTACTTTACAGACATAGTAAGAATACATCATTTCGATACCAACCAAACAGAAGAATCACATATGAAGTACCCAAGCAAGTGAGTAAATCGAAGCATATCTCCAGCTAGAAAAATAACTCATCTCACTACAGTTAGAGAGTACCAAAGAAAAAACTCAACCGTGAGACGGTTCAGTGTGGAAAGGTGCTTAGCACCAAGTCTGATGACCTAAGTTAGATCCCTTGTAACCACGTGGTAGGAGGGAGCTGACTCCTTCAATGTTGTCTTCTGACCTGAACATGCACTCAGTGGTCCATGTGCATTTGCAGGTACACGCTCAAGGGCATACACACACACATAAATAAATATAATTTTTTAAAAAATGGCATTCTCTAAAATGGAAGTGCTGGTTGCTGTATCTGAGGACTCCAATGGGAGACTACAGGCATTTTGAACATAATATTCAGAAGTCTCAGGACCTTTCCTTTCACATTAAAAAAAATGGTAAGATTCCAAAAGCTTTGTTTAGCTTCAAGGTAGGGTCTCATTATGTAGCCAGGCAGTGCTAGAATTCAAAATCCTCCTGTCTTTATTTATTTATTTACTTTTGGTTTTTCGAGACAGGGTTTCTCTGTGTAGCTTTGGTGCCTGTCCTGGATCTCACTCAGTAGACCAGGCTGGCCTCAAACTCACAGAGATCCGCCACCCCCACCCCCGGCAAATCCTCCTGTCTTTATCTCCTGAGTTCTGGCTTAACTGGTGTGTGACACCACACTCCACTTTCCCCTAAAGAACTGCTGTGTGCATTCTAGGTACTGATAGTTATCTTGTTGGAGATTAACCAGCAATTTTTTTCTTTTCTTTCTCTTTTGAGTCAGGGCCTTAAGAATTCCACATTGGCCTGGAACTCTCTATGACCCTACACTGCTTAGCCCTCTGCCTCCAGCTCTGGAGTACTGCTACTACAGAAGTATGACACCATACACCATTTATGCGCTGCTGGGGTTTGATCCCAGGGCTTCATGCATATTAGGCAGGCACTCTTAACCAAATGAGCTACATCCACAGGCCCCAATACTGACAAATCTTGAAGAGCAGTTATTCCTTCATTAAAATAGTCATGGCACATAGCCTTTTATATGAGCATATTACTTTTTACCAAGTTCTTCCACATCTGATTGTTTTTCCAATGTTTCCCTATCATATGATGTGTATTGTCTGGAAGACTCCAGTGTAGACTTGTGGAGAATGGGAATTTAAAATGTAGACAGTGCGTCAATATTATAGACACAGATTGGACCTTCCACCTTAAAGGGTGTGTGGAAGGTCAGACCACACTTGGAGCACAACTGTTTTATGAATAGTTTCTCAGCGTTTTGGCACATACCCACACTCTGGAAGATTTTAAAATCTGATACCAGCCTGGGCTACACAGTGAGACCCTGTCTAAAACCAAAACATACGAAAAGCCCCAAACACAAAGAGTTAACAGGTGATTTGCAGCCAACAGAAAAAGAGCCGCAAGGATTCACAAGCTTAAGGGTTTTATACAGGATTTACTTCTTCGGCAAGATGAAAAACAGATGCACTGGTTGTTTTCATTATAAAGCAGTTTAAGAATGCACACAATTCGCCCTTTTTCTACGATCAAATGAACTAACGCAGAAATGAAGGATTGTTCATCAGGTAAACACGATGCGCAACACCCTACAAGGCGTGGAGACCCCTTGACTTAGAAGCAGAATCAGCAGAAGATGCCGCTGCTGCCGTGTTCACAAGGCAAGAGCTGTGGTTCTTAGCCGGGGTGGGAAAATGATTTCAGAGCAGAGGAGGGGGGGGGGGGGTCAGAGTTGCAGGCATTAGGCCTGGACGCGGATGGGAATCCGAGCCGGGCGGGATACAGCAAGCCGGCGACTAGGCTGCTGGCTGTCCCTCCCGCAGCGTTGCAAGGAGAAACAGGGTCGCAGCAGTGACTTTGGGATTTCCATCCCACCGCGGAGGGGAGAGGAGAGGAGACGGCGGGGAGCGCGCGAGAGGAGCGACTCTGGCGGGAAGCCTAGGGCTCTGGGAGGGCGGGGGGGAGGCGGGAAGAAGGCCGGCTCTGTTCCTAGGCAACACGGCCCGGGCCCCGCCTCCCGCTCCCGTTGCTAGGCGACGCCGAGGCGGGGTGTGTGTGGGGGGGGTGCCGGGGAGCGGCCCCTACGTGCTGACGCTAATTGTATATGAGCGCGAGCGGCGGGCTCTCGGGTCTTTTTTAGCGCCATCTGCTCGCGGCGCCGCCTCCTGCTCCTCCCGCTCCTCCCGCTCCTCCCGCCGCCGCCGCTGCCGCCGCCGCCGCCGCCGCCGCCCTGAGTCACTGCCTGCGCAGCTCCGGCCGCCCGGCTCCGCGTTCGAGCCTCCTGGAACGGTAACGGCTGGGAGGGGGCCCGGGGAGCTCGGGGGGCCTGCGAGGGGTGGGTGTGTGGGGGTGGGTGGGTGGGTGATGTCGGGGGTGGGTTCCGTGCGGCCTGAGGGACCCCGGGCCGGGGGGGGGGCGCGCGGGACAGCGAGGCCGCGGGGAGCGTGGAGGAGGAGGAGGAGGAGGAAGACGAGGAGGCCACGCCGCGGAGCGCATGGCTCGCCCCGGGCCGCCGGCTGCCTCGGTGGTCTTCTCTTTCCCCCCCCGCACCCCACCCCCCAACACCACCACCACCACGGGAGGAGCACCGCGAGCAGGCCGCGGGGGGGACGGAGGGAGGGAGGGGGAATGGAAGGAACGGTGGCCGCGAGTTCCGCCTGCTCGCCCGCTGGCCGGTCCGCCCGCCCGCCCGGGAGGGGGTTTGCGCAGGCCGCGGCCTCCGCGCGCGCCGAGGAGCCGGGCACGTGGGGACGCGCCGCGCACGGCGGGAGGACCACCCCACCCCCCCAACCTTTCCATCCTCTTATCCTCCCATTCCCCCACCACCCCACCCCGGCCCGGGCTCACCCGGCTAAACCCAAGAGTTGGAGCGTGTCCCCCCCCCCCCCAGGGCTCGCACGCTTCCCTGGAGAAAAATGTGCTGGCGGATGGGGAGGATGGAGCGGGGAAGAGGGGGATGGGGAGGTGGGGGGGTGGGGGTGGGAGAAGGAGCCTGCGCGGCCTTTAAGGGCTGTTAAGGGGTTAATGCGTGCAAAGCCATTTAGCTTAGCTGTTTTTTTTTTTTTTTTTTTTTAAACAAGAGATTGTTTTGTGTCTCGCAGGTACAGTTAGAGCTTCTTCGCTGGGTACCTTGGCCTTATTGGTGTGGAGAGAACTTGATCTTAAGTCTCTTTAAACCTCCCAGGGGTTCTAAAATGAAAATAAGGCTTGTTGGGGGTGGCGCGGGGCGGGGCGGGGGGTTCGATTCTGATAGACCAGCAACGTAGTTTTCTCTGCCGGAACTTCCCAGAATTCTCACGAGGGATGAAGTGGATGGAGTATGATGAGATGGAGCAAGGCATTCATTAGTATATACTGACTGAGCTCTGTGCGCCACATTTCTGTAGAGATCTCAGTGGCAGTGGAGGGAGGAGGGAGGAGGCAGGTCCAGTCTGGAGGGCTAGACTTCCAGAATCAAACCGTGAACCAGGCACAGGCTGTCTTCAAGGACTCCCTATTTCAAGGCATCGCCTGTCGAAATTCTGAAAAGACAACGTTTTGGAGACCCAAAATACTAACCTGGTTTCAGGAGAGCCAACACAAGGGTTATTTTTGAAAAGTGTTGCCATCAAAACATCTTTTCAAACCAATCCAAAGAAATACTTTGGGTTGTGTTAGGCGTAATTTATTTAAAACCAACTGTAGGTAAGTGGGGTTTTCGGTGGTCTTGGAATTCTTGTCTCAAGCTTGTTTGCAGTTGAAGTGCACATCCCAGATTTAAACTATACAACTACTTTACTTCCAAATCTGGATTTGGAGGGTTTAACTTAGCATTAGCAGGACTTAGACATCTGTCCTAAAATCTTGACTTAACTAATAGATGTTCTTTTCAAGTCAGCCTTTAGATTATTAAAATTATTATTATTAAAAGTTAAAGGCTACTCAGCATATCGAGGAAAAAAAGCCTGTCAGTTTTATCTTGCAGAATACCTGTTTGGTTTTTTGTTTTTTGTTTTTAGTCTTGGAGCCTATAGTTGACAGTAGTTTAAATCTGAGTGTGGCACCTGACCTGTCCTCTCATGAGATTCAAAAAACAAACAAACAAAAAACCCCACTCTTGGCAGAGCCAGTGTGACTAAAACTTTATAGTTTATTTGATTATTTACTTACTAATATTGGCCTCAGGTACAGGAAAGGGTGAGTAAAAGAGGCAGAATGTGACTAAAAAAGATCTGAAAGCATCAGAATACATTGCTTATTTTGTTGGGTTATAAATTCAAAAGTATTAAAGAGTCTTCATTTAATTCTAGAAATACGAGTGATCATTCTATTCATATCCTAAAATTCAGTCTGTTCTGACCTATATCTCATACCATAAGCATATTGGTTTGTCTGTGTATGGAGGGTTAAGCCCTGTGGACTGAGGCGAGTTGGGAAAGCTTAAGGTAATTACGAGTTGCTTTACAGAAAAGGGTCTGTTAGAATGTTAGAACTGATTAAACATTTCAAACTAGTTTCCTCTGAGGAGTAACAAGTTCTTGTTGCACTTACTGGAGGTGAGGTGGTGGGAACAGCTGCTGCATCCCTGTCTGTAGTTCATGAATCACAGTGGACCATGCTACTGGGTTTGTAAGAAGTAACTGTGTACCTTAGGATAGTCACTCTGCCTTTCATTGCTAAGAATGGATTTGGACCATTTTTTTTTTTAACTTGAAAAGCTTTTATTTATTTATTTACACTGGTAAAGGAGCTACAGGGGCTGGTGACCTGGCCGCTCTTCCAGAGGACCTGGGTTCAATTCCTAGCATTCACATGGCAGCTCACAACTGTCTTACTCTGGTCCCAGGGGATCCAACATGCACACACATGGTGTACAGACATACATGTAGGTAGAACACCCATTCACATAGAAATAAAGGTTACAAAACATTAAAGAAAGATACTCCAGAGGGAACAAATATGAGTCAGTGATTACTGAGGCTTCTTAAAAAGCTCTGCTATGTAGAGGAGGCTGCCCTTGAACTCAGATCCAACTCCTGCCCATGGAATGCTGAGATGAAAGGCGTGGCAGTTTTTAAATTCCACATGCATCATTCATTCATTTATTTAATGCTGTCAGGTAACACTAGCTTTCTCTTTTGAAGCTATCTTACTGTATATGGGTTAGGTGGCAGTACTAATATTTTTTTTTTTTTTTTGGTTTTTCGAGAGTACTAATATTTTAACTAGCGTGATAAAAAGCTTTTTTTTTTTTTTTTGACTTAATTTTATGTGTATGAGTGTCTTGCTCACGTGTATGTCTGTGCACCCTGTGCGTGCCTGGTACCTGTAAAGGTTAGAAGATGGTCTCAGATCCTAGTATGAACTGCCAGGTGGGTTTCCTGGTTTCTGCAGGGAAAACAAGCGCTCTTAAACATTCATTGAGCCATCTCTTCAGCCCCTTTATTGGTGGGTTTTTTGGTTTTTTTTTTTTTTTTTTTTTTTAGGCAGGGTTTCTCTGTAGCCCCGGCTGTCCTGGAACTCATCCTGTAGACCAGGCTAGCCTCAAACTCATAGTCTCCCGCCTCTGCCTCCCAAGTGCTGGGATTAAAGGCCTGAGTCACCACCACCCAGCTAAGGATGTTGTCTGACTTGAAGTGCTGGACATCAATGTGGAATTCAAAAGCACGGTCCTGGATTTACTGTGGGGAAAAGCTACAGTATAGTCAGGTGAATCTGTTCCAACATGGATGCTTGCATGTAACTAAGTAGTGACTGCTTAGAAGCCCTGTCTTTGCATGTGTAAGCTGTATTTGTCACATATACATAAAACACAGTTGAATATAGATAAATTGTTACTAGGAAGTGAGGGGGTTTTGCCAGATGCCAGGCCCTGGTACATGTACATCTGCTGTTACTCTACCTCTGGAGATCTTCTGGACAGAAAGAAGGTAGTGTTCTCCAGTAGTCCATTCTGCTTGGGAGTTCAATACATGGCCCGGCCAGTTCTGACTTCACTCAGTATCACGGGAATGAAAAAGTGAGTGTTTTAAAAAAAAAAAAAAAGATGCTGTTGAAACTAAGTTGAGTTGGAGCCCATTTGGTGCTGTGCCCTGACCTGATGAGAGTGTTCCAGAAGAACCACTTCTGAAATTGATGGGGTGAAGTCTGAGAGGGAGAAAAGTCCATTTTAAAGTGACTTAGGCCTGCTTCCTAAGTCACTGTTTTCTAATGAGGAAATTGTCTGCTGATGGATATCATGGGGATTTTTCCAGAATGACCCACCAGAAGCTAAGAAGTTGGTAACAGATGCTTGGATATCTGGCTGTTAGATATATCTAAGACCATAAAATGATAAGGTTTTGTGTGTGTGTGTGTGTGTGTGTGTGTGTGTGTGTGTGTGTAGTCAGGGTCTCCTCCCCCCTCCCCAACTTCTGTGGAAGAGTTTACTTACTTCAATTCAGATTAATAATTGACTTAAGGAAAATTAAAAACCAGCATCTTTTCCCATTGAGATGGTCTATGCAATATTGGATTACACATTGAACCTTCTATATCTGATAATGGTCTTGAAGTTTTTTACCCCTCATGGTAGTACAGTTTGGTTAGGATTGTATTTTGTTTTACTGCTCTAAAGATGGTGGATATAGCTGAATATGGTGGCATACATACACCTGAAGTTCAGCACTGGGGTATCTGAGGCTGGGGGATCACTGGCTCAGCAGTTTGAGCACATCTTGAGCAATAGTGGTACCACATGTAAAAATAACCAAAAAACTTTAGATACATACATAATTCTTTTTGCCCTACATCTTTCTTAGACTGTCATCCTGGGGTCACTGTCTTTTCTAGTTAAGGGTAGATGTAATAGAATATTCTAGTGAGATTGCTTGGAGGTTTTTTTTTTTTTTTTTTTGCCTCCAATTATCTGCACTGCCTACATTTAACTTTGTTTTTAAAGGCTGTTTTGGTTGCATGTGGTCTAAGATTATGGTTAATACACTCACGTGCTGGGATCATGGCAATATTTTGTCTTTTTACTGCTGTATCTTAGCATGTTTTGTTTTGGGTTCTTCAGTAGGAAAGGAGGATTTATAGGGCTCCTTTTATCTGGATGGGTGTCTTTGATCATTTCCAGAGATTTCTTAGTAGTTTATTTCTGAATGTTACCGCCTGTATACTTCTAGAATGTGTGTCCAGCCTCAGACCTAATCCATTCTTCAGTTGAACCGAATTTATTGTTAAGCCAGCCGCTTGATGTCAGTTTGTAATTTTTGTTCTGGAAGTTATTTCCTACATTCAATATCTTTATCTCTTGTAGATGGTTCTCTTCTGCCTCTTCCTCCCGAAGATTAAACTCAGACCTTTCTGCACGCTGAGTAATGCTCTACCATTAAGTTGTACCCCCAGAGCCCAGTTCCTTTCATCTTGGACTTAGTCCTTTTGGCCTTTGTCCATTTGATAATATTTAAGCTTTTAGAGTGTAGGACCAGTTTCTTGCTTTTACGAATTATTTGAGGTGTAGGATGAAGGTGTCCTTCACTTATTTTTGATCTGCGCAAGTGCCTGTGAACACATGAGGGTACACTAAGCTAAGCCATAGCTTAGGCATTTAGGGGACAGCACAGGAGATTAATTTGCGATGTTAGTCCAGGAGAAGTGGTTTATTGGGGGTTCCTGCTTAATTCAGGGGGATTGCTGTAAAGGTTGGATGGGTCTGTGATTTTTTTTTTTCTTTTTTATGGGGCAGCAGATTGACGTCAAGGCATTGTGCATACTAGGCACTTGTCTACCACCGAGTTACTTCCCTCAGTGTGCCTAAGATTTTGACTAGCTCAGGTTATTAAAACTAAATTTCAGGTGGCTAAGTGGTGCACACACATGTAATCCCATTTAAAGGGGGAGGATAAAGGTTCAGGGCCATCCTTGACTACATACTGAATTCTTAGCTGGTCAGTGCTGTGGGAGGCTGTTTCATATAGCACAGGGAGCTATTGAGATGCCTCAGCTAAAGCTCTTAAGACCCAGGCTTCGTCACTGGGACCCTGAGTGGTCTCCATACTTGTGCCAACCCTCTCCCCCAGTAAATGAACATTTTTCTTTTTTTTTTTTTTTTTTTTTTTTTGGTTTTTCGAGACAGGGTTTCTCTGTGTAGCTTTGCGCCTTTCCTGGAACTCGCTTATGGAGACCAGGCTGGCCTCGAACTCACAGAGATCCGCCTGGCTCTGCCTCCCGAGTGCTGGGATTAAAGGCGTGCGCTACCACCGCCCGGCTACATTTTTCTTTTTTAATTTGATAATGGCGGTTGACCTTAGGGCAGAAATAGCTAGGATTCTTAATTCTTAATGGTTCTGCTAGGGTTTCTGTGCTTTTACAATTTTTAAACAAATTTTATTCTGTACTTTTCGATTTTTCAAGAGTTGACCTGCTTAGTTTGCTGTCACTAATTTGGAGTGGAAGTTTTTCATTCCAAGAAAAAGAATACTGTTTTTCTGAGTGTGGACCCAAGATCTCTGACTGGGCCTCAGGCTTACTGATGATGGGTTTAGGATGAATGGCCAGGCCCCCGGGTCCGCCTGTGTCCGCTTCCCTCTGTTAGGCCTGCTTTCAGTCATGTCCAGCTCTGTGTTCAAGGAGTCCCACTCAGGTCCTCTGCGCCGCAGTCGCGCTTCTGACTAAGAAAGGCTGTTTCAGTAAACATGATGCCGGCCTTCACAAGGGTGTGCTTCTCAGTGTGCTCTCATGACCTCCTGCTGACCAAGCTGGGGTCTTGTGTAGACTACTGATACTTGCGGTTTATTGGGTATGTTGGTTTAGAATCCAGCCGTGGAGCCCCGAGAACAACCCCTCCTTTTCTAACTTCGATTTCTAGAAACGTTGTTGTTGTTGCTATATATACCTGAGGTACTCTTTGTTGCTCTGACGAAATGCTAATCGAGAAGCATCTTAGGCAAGAGTTTCTCTCGGCTCACATTATGGTGAGGAAGTCATGGTGGGTGGCAGGGGCTTGAATCAGCTGGTCAGAGATGAAGGCTAGCACTCCCGTTACTTCCCTAAGTGTGGGACCCTGCCTAGCCTGTAGGCTGGTCCTGTGCACATTTAGGAAGGGTTTTTCCCCACTTCAGTTAATGTCATCATTGTCACAAGCATGCTGAGAGACTTGACCTTAGGTGAGTCCAGATCCTGCCAAGTTAACAATCAACAGTCACAACACTTAACTGTTACATCATCCTAACCTAGTATGTTGCAGAAACATTGACCCCATGCTAATTGAGAATTTTCTGGATGTCGGGTACAGGTTAAGTTATGCCTGTACATTTATTCATACAGTTGCAGGGTTTACTAGATGAGGTATTTAGTTAACCCAGCAAGTTCTAAGATGTTGTTCAATTATATTAGTGCATATAGTAAAACAAAATAATACAGAATGAAAAGTGTTCTCAATTAGTGGGTTCGTGCCTACTATCCTAGCATTCAAGAGTCTGAGGTAAGATTACCAAGAGTTGGACAGTCTCCTTCCTGTGGTGCCTAGTTCTAGGCCAGCCTAGGCTCCGGGTGAAACCCAGTTTTGTTTTAAGGAAACTTCTCACTTGTCCCTATTGTCTTCCCTGTTATATGGAACTGTTATTGCTTCCTAGGTGCTTTTGTACAGAGGTCTTGTTTTGGGAACTGGCAATGTAGTTTAGTGTAGTGTGCGTTCAAGGCTTTTTACTCTTGTGGCCAAATTACTTTCTAGGAAAAGTAACTTAATCCAGATTTAAGAACATGTGTTTACCCCGGTTTCCCCTGCATTGAAAGAATCTTTGATTTCATAGGCAGAGCATATAATCCCAGTTGTATTTCGTTCGAGATTAAGGATTGGTGGTGTTCATAATTTTAAATTAGTATTCATAATTGCTTACTAACCATGTTATAAACACTGGCTGTTGCTAGAGACAATTTCAGTACTATGTGCTGTGTAAAGCAAATGGGAGGGCTGGAGAGATGATGCATGTTGCTCAGTGATGAGGGCCATGAGTTCAGATTCCTGTGACACCCATGAACATGTGTTAACTGCAGGCACTCTCTTCTGCTTTCTCTGCACACTCAGACACATGTACTCGCACTATACTCCAGCCAGTGAGGCGTGTGTTGCCAGGTTCTTGCCAATACAGTGTGAGCAGAAATCACAAGTGCTGTTTCTGGGCTTCAGTTTTAAGGCATTACCAGTGCGGTCTCCAGTGCTCACTAGCATGAATCTTAAAAGTCCTTATTAATAAAACAAACCTGGAGCCAGTTATTGGGGTGAACGCTGGAAGATCAGAGAAGCAGAACAGGCCACAGCCACCTCACTTGCCAGTTCCTCAGCTGATCCTGTTTCCTCTTGATTGGAAGCCTGTGTCCTCATCCAAATGGATCCTAGCTGAACTGCTGCTCAAAAGTCTAAAAGCTTAACCAGCCTAGTTCCTGGTCCTCACACCTTTTATACCTTTCTGCTTCCTGCCATCACTTCCTGGGATTAAAGGTTTTTCACCATGCCTGGCCATTTCCAGTGTAGCCTTGAACTCACAGAGATCCAGATGGATCTCTGCCTCCCAAGTGATAGAATTAAAGGCGTGTGTGCCACCATTTTCTGGCCTCTGTATCTAGTGACTATTCTGCTCTCTGACCCCAGATAAGTTTATTAGGGTGCACAATATTTTGGGGAACACATTATCACCACAACTCACGTTTCTTTTCTGGTGACATTGTGTAGGTGTTTTGGTGGCTGGGTCTTCAACAGTGCAGGGAAACCGTGTTCCAAAGACTGGTGGTATAGTATACATGATGGAAGGCTTCTGAGTGGTCCCACAGAGCTAGGCTGCCCTGCTGATGTGAGCCACCTTCCTGATGGTCACATGACTGAGAACTCAACTCTGTGCTGTAGTGTTGGGTTTCAGTTGCTGCTTTCTTTCCTCATCCAAACCCTGATGCAGTGGGCATCTTCAGAAGCCTCCAGATGCCAAGAGGATGGCCATAAGAAATAGGTTTTTAGGCAGTCTTCTACTTAGTCCAGGCTGGCCTCCATCGCTTAGTAATCCTCCTCCTGCATTAGCTGTTCCAAAGTACTGGGACCAGTTTTCATAAACTAGCTGAAAGATGCAAGAAATATTAAGCTTTTCAGAGACCTCTAGAGTCATAGAAAGGGCAGTAGTTAAGCAAAGTTTTGCTTTTGAAATGAATTTGAGTTAAAAAATAATAGTGATGGCTTACTGGGTAAAGTTGTAAGTTGTCCTCTGACCTCCACACATACCATGGTGCACACACAATAAATATTGATGTCATTTGTCACTTTAAAATACTGCTAAAAAAAGTGGATTAAAATACAAAGTGGATTTCTCTAGTACCAGCCCTGGGGAAGCAGAGACAGATGGATCTCTGCATTGAGGCTAGCCTGGTCTATGTAGTGAGTTCATACTATCCAGGGTTAATGATGAAAGCCTGTCTTTAAAAGAAAACAAAAGAAACTCACCTCTGGTGGTGGTGGTGGTCCCCATACTTCTTTAATCCCAACACCCAGGAAGCAGAGGCAGGTGGATATCTGAGTTCGAGGTCATTGCTTTCGTTTTTATAACAGAGTCTTTGTGTGTTCCATGGTTTTTTTGGGTGGTGGGGTGGGGCGTGGAGGTGTAGACAGGGTTTCTAGTCCTGGCTGTCCTAGAACTCACTTTGTAGATCAAGTTGGCCTTGAACTCACAGAGTTCTGCTGCCTCTGCCTCCCTGAGTGCTGGGATTAAAGGCGTCATGGTTTTTTTCCTTAACACATGCTATTTTAAAGAGAATATATAATTACTAGATTAAGTGTTTTATTGATTCATAGGGTTTTTCTTAGCTTTAAGTAAATCATGCTTGTTTTTAATACTGATTCTTTTCTCTTTTAGATATTTGGAGTTCTTCTTACAAGATGGCAGACATGGACAAGTAAGTGGTGGATATTTCACTCCTTTTTAGGGAGTTTGTATTGTGATGTAGTGAATAGCAGTACAAATTGTGTATTATAAAAATGTATATTACTGACATCCTTGGTACCCGCTCTGTTGGAAGTTGGGTACAATATCTAATCTAAAATGCATTATGTATAATCACTCATAAGTTGAGTAGACCACCCCCTGGCAATGGGCAGAGAGACACCTTGGTGGTGTTGTTCTTATATCAGTCAGGGGCAGAGCAGATGACAGTCCTTTGTTCATCCTAGCTTGATGCCTGGCTTGGTGGCCAAAGCTGTTTCATGCCTAGGGCACATTCAAAAAAAAACAAAATGGGTTGGGGATTTAGCTCAGTGGTAGAGCTCTTGCCTAGCAAGTGCAAGGCCCTGGGTTCAGTCCTCAGCTCTGAAAAACAAAACAAAACAGAACAGGTGTAGTGACACACACCTTTAATCCCAGCACTTGGGAGGCAGAGGCAGGCGAATCTCTCTGAGTTCGAGGGCAGCCTGTTCTATAAAGCAAGTTCCAGGGCAGTCAAGGCTGTTACAAAGAGAAACCTTGTCTCAAAAAAGCAAAACATGCTGATCGTGGTAGTAGTTCATAAATACTTGGGAGAATTTTTAGCATGTGTATTTCTCACCATGTTCCTATTAACACGTATATGTGTAAACACGTGTAGAATTGACGCAGCAACAGCACGTATACAACTTAAAAGTGGGGAGATTGCTGTTAGAATTGTCCCTTTTCGTTCTTTCTCAGTTACATTCTCCACCTCCTTATCCAGAGTTGTAAGGACGCGTCTCAATCTTGTTTAATTCATTTCTTTGCGTTCTTTAGAATGTTAATGCTGGTTTGGGGAGGCGGCTAGGACTGTAGTAGGAATTGAATTTAGGGTTTCACATATGCTAGGTTCCTGCTCTGCCCCTGAGCTGTCTCCTCAGCTGACTGGTGAGTTTTTAAGAGGAAGCACTGACTTAACTTGAAAGCAGTTTTGCTTTTAGTGGCTTAACCTTTCTTGAGGCTCTACTGGGGTTTGTTCTGACAGCTTCAACTACAGGGGTAGGCACGTTTTCCTGTGGTGCGTGTCTAGTGTGGGAGGGTGTCTCATAGAATATGGTCAGGGAGGATGGGATAGGTTGCCCAAGGTTTGTCTTGTTTAATTTGACAGTAGCCTTACCAGCTCACAGTAGTTACAGTATAACACTGTGATTAATTAATTAAGATTGCCAGTGGCTTTAGATATATCCAGGGCATGGGGTTGGGGGAGGGACAGGAACCTTACCATAAGGTCAACAAATACAAATATGTGTGACAATTTTGCCTGTTTATGCATGCTTGCTGTCTTTAGAAGAGGACAGGAAGTAGATTCTCTGACATGCAGGCTCCTTTAGTGACAGTTAGGCTGTAGCACTCTAACGAACATCTTTATTCAGAAGTCTGAAGGTGCCTCTGCTGTCACCGCCTCCGGTGTGATGTTAAATTCAGAGCCACATTTCTCTGGTCACATACACTGTATTTCTTTTGATGGGTTTCCTTCATTTGGCTTTATCTTTGAAAATGTCTAATTTTTCACACTTGATACAGCCATTCGGTAGTGGACCCTTTCAGTCCGCCAAATTCAGTGGCTTTCGGTTCTAGGACATGTTTGTTTTGACTGACTGCTCATTGGCTTGTCTCTTCTTTGTGTAACTCTTGTTAGATGTCCTATCTTGGAGTGGTCTTCTAGTTCGTATCTTGTAATTTTTCATCTTGTCTCTTTGCTCTTCTTCCTGGACAGACGTAGACTCATTGTTTTCCGTTTGCGTTCTGAAATCTGTTGCTTTCCTCCCCCCTCTTGATCTTTGTTCCCTCCTCACTTGACTGTACTGTCTTTCTCTGGGTGTCTCTTTCCTCTTCAGTCTTACTTACTCCTCTCTCCTTTCACTTCAGACTTAATTTGTAATCGGCTTTCCTAATGGGGTAGTGCTTATTATCTGCTTGTTAAAATTGATGTTGGGATCTGGGGTGAGTGCATTGAAAGATTAACAATAGTTGATTAAAATCGTGAAGGCTTGGTAGAGGGTCCTGTTAACGTGGGACTCTGCGGTTGGGTCATCGATGGGTATTAGAACACCCAACTTCAGAGTGACCTTTCTTTTTTTTTTGGTTTTTCGAGACAGGGTTTCTCTGTGTAGCTTTGCGCCTTTCCTGGGACTCACTTGGTAGCCCAGGCTGGCCTCGAACTCACAGAGATCCGCCTGGCTCTGCCTTTCCTTTCTTAGTAGTCCACTGTTGTAGGAATCCTGGCAGCCAGGGAGAGGCTTTTTAGCATTCTAGTTTATAAGTAGTTAAATTAGACACCCAATACTGTTAGCTTTTATTCTTTTGAAGACTGCCAGGCTTATCCTTCACATTGCCTACTTGGATTTTATTTATGTTTTCTGGCTTCAAAATTTTGATCTCTTTTTCTTGACATTTAGTCTTAACTCTTTTAACAATACTATCTTTGTTTTTGAACTGGCGATTTTGGAAGAATTAAAATTAGATGCCATTAGTCTGCCATATTAGCTTAGTATTGATCATTTTGTAAATAATTTAAAAAGTTGCAAATTGATTATAACAGCTTGATTTCTCCACCCTAATATTTAATTCTATATGGCTGTTAGCCCTGGGAACGTGGGAGACGGGACCCCTCAAAGTAAGAGCCAGTCAACTGAGAAAGGCCTAGGAGTGAGTGCTGTAGTCACTTTGAGCCTTGTTCTAATACAAATTGTGGTATTTATAGATAGAAGTAGGCTAGATTTGGCCATATGATACAGTTTGTGAGATTCGTTCAGTAAATACTTGATGATACTAAAGGTGCGGCGGCTGTGACTTACCCAACAGCAACCTCCGGCTCTGAATTCACACACAGATGATTGTAAGGAGTCAGAGATCCTGGAATTAGCCCTGAGTTTTTCTCTGTGGTGGTTCATAGGATCATACTATAGTTCCAGGACTCTAGAGATTGCGATTGGAAGATAGTTGAGTTTGTGGGCTGCCTTGTTACACATGGCAAAACCTTGTCAAAACAAAACCAAAAAATAAAGGAAAATTGTCCTTAATCCCACCCTCTTCGTTTCTAGATGGAATCCCATATCCGCAAAGTAGGGTTTGCTGATTCTTCCAAGATGATGAAGAAATCTGTCTTTCTCCTCATGGAACTGTTATGGCTAAAATTTAAGCACGATGTTGGCATTTCTTCTCCATTTTTACTATGAAGTAAAAAAGTGTTCATAACCAGAGATGCAGGATCCCTGTTGCCTTTTTTTTCCCCCCAAGACAGGGTTTCTCTGTGTAGTACTGGCTGTCCTGGAACTCACTCTAGACCAGGCTGGCATCAGACTCATAGAGATCTGTCTCCCCATCCTTAGTGTGGTTACCTGTATTTTCTGGGATGTCTCATGGTCCAATGTAACTGCTGAATCTGTAGTTAATCCAGAAGGGAAGGATGGATCAAGATCAGAAAGGTTTCCTAGCTATCTACCATTTTATAAGGATTCTTACAGTTTTAAATATGTTCTGTTTTATAAGATCTCATTACCACAGCCAGACAGCCAGGGCTACGTGGTGACAGGCATCCCATCTCAAAAACAAGCCAGGTGGTGATGGTGCACACCTTTAATCCCAGCAGAAGCAGAGGCAAGCCTCTCAGTTTGAGGCCAGCCTTGTCTATAGAGCAGGTTCCAGGACTACCAGGACTTCAACAGGGAAACTGTCCCCAAACCAAAACCAAACAACAAAAAATCCACCACCAATTTAGTGCTGTACTCTGGGCATGATGGTGTAGGCCTGTAATCCTACCTAGCACTCTGGAAGGTGGAGGCAGGAGGATCAAGTTCCTATGTAGCCTTCAGCTACATAGGAAGTTAGATGCCAGCATAGGCCACATGAAATAAATGTACAAAAACAATAGCAAATAAATGTCATTACCAAGACAGTTATGAAATCGGCTAGGAAACGGACTTCATCTTGGTATTTTACTGCCCTATATAAAATGATAGTACGCTTCATTACAAAGACAGAGGAATGCAGTCATTGGATACAAGTTTGAAAACATGCTTCCTGCGGTCACAAACCTACCAGACTGCGTTTGTGCAGCCTGAAGCTTGTTTTTGGCTAGATGGTTTTAAGTACCAACTTCAGTTAGTACTTGTGTCCGTGTTACATAGTTCGAAATCATAATCACTTGTGAATCTCTGTCCTTTGAAAGAACCCTGTTTATTTTTAGAAAGTCAATACAAGTTTCTCTATAATTTTGTTTTGTAATTCATACATTTAAACTATGGTGTGATGCTATGACATTGTAGCAAAGAACAGTCTGAACTTGATCAAGATTTGGATGACGTTGAAGAAGTAGAAGAAGAAGAAACGGGTGAAGAAACAAAAATCAAAGGTATTCTTTTCAATTACTTCAGGAGCCAGCAGTGCTGGCATGTGTCCTCTAGAGGAGAGCAATAGGAACTGTTCTCCCACTCTTTTCTGGACCCCTGTCTGTTGTTATCCTTTATCTCCTCATCCATTCCTGAGTTTAGTAACTGCGCTTTTGTGTAAGAGGAAGCAGTAAGCAAGGAAGACATGAACGTAGTAACTCATGAACATTTCACCCTACTGTGGAGTTAGAGAGTACCTAGCTGTGTAATACTAGAAGGGTTGGAAATGGGAGTTACTTGGCAATGCTTCTAACCTATGTTTACTATTTAATTATGTAAGAAAGCTGTCTTTAAAAATGCACCCTATTAACATCAGAAGGGTGTTATTAAATGTATGTGGAATCAGTGAAAGTTTGCCTAGCAGATAACGTGCATGAGGAGTAGTACTGGTGGGTAGATGGTCCAGGAGTACTGAGGTAACCAGGTGACTCCCTTTCGTTTTTAGCCAGATGTATTTTAATTATGAAAATACGGAGTTCCTGCCTTCTTTAGAATTTTTTTTCAGTTGCTATAATTGATGTTCCTAAATGCCTATTATTACAGCTGTGTATCATCTAGTTCTTAATTATTATTAAAAGCAAATTAGTCTCCAAGAATATAACTGAGAATGATTTTGTTACACTCTCAAGTTAAATGTACATACATGGAGTTTTCTGGTAAGTTGTCTGCCCTCAGGTGACTTGTCGAGTCTTGGGTAGTAGGCAGCATTGTGACAGAGCTTTGAGCTTCCCGAAACTTTAGAAAGGTGGTGAAACGCAAGATAACGAACAGGACTAGAAAAATTTTGTCCGTTGTGCTTGTGATAAAGGCCTAGAGAAATCCTGTACTTTAAATATCATTAGAAACCCGAACGTTTCTAAGTGCTGGGTTTCCTTAGCTTACTCCACACATTTCTACTTGTCATACCAGCATTTTATGTGCCTGTTAGCAAGACTTCATGATTGGTGTCCAGTGGAAACAGCAGAAACGGTTTCACAAATCCCTTTTTCAATGCCCCCTTTCTTTTTAAAAGCGCGTCAGCTGACTGTTCAGATGATGCAAAATCCTCAGATTCTTGCAGCCCTTCAGGAAAGACTGGATGGTCTGGTAGACACACCAACAGGATACATTGAAAGGTACAAGTTTCTTTTTTTTTCTACCCTCATTTATCTTTCTATAAAAAAACTGCTGACGTTTACCTGTGTCATCATGGAACGCTAATGTCTGTTAATAGCTAGTATAAGATTTTGGGGAGTTAAGAATGTAGAGCTCTGAATAGCTTAGGCCTTTTGACTTGGTTCAGGTCTGCAGGAAGTACACTGTTCTTAGCCATTTCTATGATTTGTTTAGAAATTGGTTAGGAATGTACAGAATTAGAAATACAGGTTCCTTTTTTTTAAAAAAAAATATGGGTTACTTCATGTGCTGCCTAACTCAGCTTTCTGATTTTAAGGTCCATGTCTACTGCCCTCTGTTTACTGGACACGCTTCCTGATTCTGTGTGTCTACTGTTGTGTTGGCCAGATTGTCCTGGGATGGGTGCTCATTGTTCTCTTTCTCCCCTTAAGGGATTGGAAGAAGTTCTTTGGGCTGTTACTTTGGTAGAATTCCTGCTTAGAGAGCAGACAATCTTCAGGGCTTATAGCAAGATTTCTGGAAATGCTGGGGTTTCTTTCCAGAGATGTTTAGTCTGAAGGTGGCTTTATCTTCCATGTCTCTGCCAAAAGTTGGCATCCAACTTTTTGTAGATGATTTTCTTTTCCACCATAGAAAGTATGATCTGGTTTTACTTGTATATTCTGCTTTCTAGTAAACTTGGAGTTGCTTTTCAGGAATGAGTGAGCCTTGTAGCCCGTTTGCACCCTCTGTCCATTTCTTAACTGAGGTTACTGTCATTTTATATTTTGTAGAATTCCTCATGTGTTCATATTTTCTCCCTTATTATTGCAAAAAATATTCTATGGAGTCCTTCAGTAAACAAATCCTTAATTTTTGTATTAGCAAATGGGTGTTTTGTTTTCCATTTTGTGCTGATGACTTGTGGATTCAAATTGTTGAGAAGTCTTTCTTAGTACCTGCATTCCTCCAAAGTCTAGCTTTGTTCTTGGTACAGATAAACATCCATCCCTTCCTCCTGTTCTGGTAAGTTCTTATTAAACCGTTAACTGTGAACCGTTCTTTTTCCATTTATACATGTCCACCTGTTAACATAGGAGGCTCTTTTGAATTGTTGACTTTGTGAGTAGCACACGGATTTCACTGGTCTTTTTGTCTGTTCTTGTCTTTGACACATCTGCTAGCTGTCGCTTCAGAGTGTGTGTTAACACGGGAGACAGTGAGTTGCTTCCATAATCTCGGCTCTTAAGTACAGTCTTCGTGTTGGTCAGGACATGATTCCTTTGTCCTTGTCTGACAGACAAGATGCTTCCTTCCATACTGTCCTATGCTTAAATACAATCAAGAAGCCAAGCTGCCTACACCTCTGTCCACAGGTTTGACAGGGTTCTCAGTTTTAACCTGGCAAGTTTGCTATCAGTTACAGTTCATAAATTGACAGGTGGTGGGGATCTTTAGTATCATCTCATCCATAGCCTTGTGTTGTTCATAAACACATGCTAGCTTTCAGTTTTGTGGTTTTCTTCTTAGAATATTGATTATATTCATTTCTGTATATTTTGCATATGATATTCCTGTTAATAAAGTATTCTTTTATATTGTATTCCTGCTTATATGGAGAAATGCTGTGTTTTTTTTTTTAAATGGTAGTGTATCCAGTAATATTGCTAAAATCATTGGAGTAATTTATAGCACACCCCCTCTAAGTGTATTTGATGTCAAATTAACCTCATCCCCTAGGAATAGACATAATTGTTAGTATGTTACATCATTTACTTGTGAGATAAGCTTATGTATGTGTGTATTTATGTATACAAAGAAACTTTTATGGGTTGTTAATAGCTATGAACCACCATGAGAATGCTGGGAACCTGGCTAACCCCAGTCCTCCAAGATCAGCAAGTGCTCCTAACAGCTGAGCCGTTTCTAGCCTTGTGTCCTCGCGCCCGCGCCCCCCGCCCCCCTTTCTGGGGGAACAAAAGAGTAGTCCTGGCTCTCCTGGAGTTCCGGTACGTAGACCAGGCTGACCTAGAATCCACAGAGATCTTGCCTGCCTTTGCCTCCCAGCTACTGGTAATAAAGAAGGGTGCTATTGCCCCCAGCTACCTACCGTTTTTTTTTTTTTTTTTAAATCTAATTTGCTTTGTCCAAGTTTTCCTTAGTGTCAGTTTTGGTTTGCTGTTTTCTAAACATGTATGTACTATGCTGTAGTTTAGGTTTAAAATACCCAGTTGTCTTGGTGTCGCTAATGTTTCTTAGAACTGTAATTTTTGTTTCTGTTTAGTTTTTTGAGACAGGGTTTCTCTGTGTAGCCCTGACTGTCCTGGAAGTTGCTGTTCAGACCAGGCTGGCCTCAAACTCAGATTTATTTGCCTCTGCCTCCTAAGTGCCTGGCTCTTAATTTCACTTCGGATTTCTTTTGCGTATTTCCATGGCTGCTCTCTCCCTTGTCTCTAGCCATGTATGTACTTACTTTAATCTGTCCATCATGGCCTCAGCATTCTCTTTTCTTATGATTAATTTTTTTATTTATGTGCATATTGTGGTTGCCCAGGGTGGCTAGACAAGGACAATAGATCCTCTGGAACTAGAGTTACTGGTAGTTGTGAGCAGTCCAACGTGGGTGCTGGGAAATGAACTTGGGTCCTCTGCAAGAGCAGTAAACACTCATCACTGAGCCATCTCTTCAGCCTCCCCTCTTGTTTTTGTAACTATTCTGTAAATACTGACTGGGGTTGGGGAGATAGCTTAGCAGGTAAGGCATTTGGTACTCCAGTGATGGAGTCCTGACTACCCGAATTGAATCCCTGGAACCCCCACAGGAGTGGGAGGAGAGAACTATCTCCAGTGTTGGCATTTGACCTATATGCACGACTCGCCAGCTGTCGAGTGAAGAAGACATCCTGACCAGAGTAACTCAGTGTTTGTACTGCACAAGCTGCCTTTATTTCTGTGTAGTAACTGTTCACTGTGAAAGTTTCTAGGAAAGATATGTAAAAACCATGACTTCCAGTTCCCACTGTAGACTGGTTACATTTTAAATCTGTTTATGGCTCTGTGTGTCTCTACTCTTCTTGTCTTTGTATTTTGTAGTTTCTTTGGCCATACTTCTTCCCCCCTAGCATTAAGACACATACTCTAGCTTTCTTATTTTATTCATGTATGTCTTCTATCCAGTAGTATAAGCTAAAGTTTTCTTTCTTAAGTTCAGCCTTTTGTTTTGAGATACGGACTCAGTTTGACTAATCTGGCGTCATGCTTGATATGGCTGTCTCTACCTCTCAGGGTCTGGGATCGTAGGCATGCATCACCACTCCACACGTTTTTTTAAAGGACGGCGTTTTTCTATTCGTGCGTGTGTGGTTAAGGTTGTTTTTAACACTTAAGCTTTTTGTTTTGTTACGTGTGTGTACTGTGCAAGCGTATGCACAGTGTGTGCGATTCTAAGGCAAACCAGAAGAGGGTGTCAGATCCCCTGGAACTGGAGTTCCTGGAAGTTGTAAGCGGCTTTACGTGGATGCTTGGAATCAAATGCTCTTAACCATTGTCATCTTTGTAGCCTCTAATTTTTTTTTTTTTTTTTTGAGATCTTAGAGAGAGAGAGGAAGAGAGAGTGAGCAAGTTTGAGTGCAATATGCATGTGCACATTGAGTGGAGGTGCCTTAATGGGACTCAGAGGTATGGAATCCCTCTGGAGCTTGAGTTACAAGCAGTTGTGAGCCTCAGCTTTATATGTCCTGAAAGTGAAATTATGTTTGGACTAACTGGAGCTGTCTTTATTTGTGACTTCCTTTGTTTATAGCTAGTTCATCCTCTGTAGTTACTTCCCTGGTCATACACAGCTGTGTTGATAGTGTATTGCTTATTGAATATTCTTAAGATGTGTATTGCTTACAAATACTGCTTTCTTTTCTCTTTCAAGGCCATATTCAATTTACTACCATACCTTATAGTATTACTTGTACTTTTTACTTAAATTGCTTTAAATAGTATGGTTTACCTCTTGGGAAAGCCTAATGCACCCTGTAAACGGCTGTTTCTCTCCCGACTGCCTGGTCCCAAATAACTGACTCAGAGGCTGAATATGAATCATAAATGCTTGGCCAATAGCTCAGGCTTGTTAATAGTTAACTCTTACACTTAGATTAACCCATACTTCTATTTATGCTTTTCCACGTGGTTCATGGCTTGTTTGGCAGCTGCCTGGTGCCTCTCCTGACTGCACCGTCCTTCTTCCCATCATTCTCAGTTTTGCTGTCCAGCTTAACTAATTGCCCAGCTACCAGCCTGTCAGCTTTTTTTAACCAATGAGAGTAATACATAATCATAGTGTAGAAAAGGATTGTTCCACAGCAGTGTCCAATACATTTATCTTGACCAGAAGCTTACACAGCATTCATTTATTGTGAAGTCAGTTCTTCAGACTACAAGTCTTTTTCTCTCTTGTAAACAGTGTTTAGCTTTGAAGACTGGTATAAATTTTATTCCTTTCCGTTTATGGATAACTTACTGTTTCCTTTGGAATTTTGTCTTTAATGTTATTGAATAGGAAGAGGCAGTAGTTGTCCCAGGGAAGAACAGAATTTAAAGGATTTCTTTCTTACAAAATGGTTTCCCCTAGACTGTCATCAACTTGCTTTCAGGCATCTTGTCCCAAGCTGCAGTTTATTCTGTGTATACTAATTAGACAGCAAACAGCTTAAAGTTGACTGTGGAGGTGTGTGTGTGTGCCTGCTTTCCTGAGATGGTTTTGTGGCTTGCTCTAAAATTTCTAGGGCTAATTTTAGAATGAGGAAGAAAGCCAGCAGCCTGTGCTACTTCCTCACTCTGCAGGGGTGTGATTTCACCTTTTCCATTTTTCTCTTTGAGCACACATTGACACACCCACAGTGTACAGGAGTTAGTTCTCCACCTTCCACTGCAAATTCTGGAAATCCAACTTCAGTCATCAGGCTTGTGCAGATTAATTGTAAGAATTAGAGAAAACTGATCTAGTTGAAAGTGTTAATTCTTTAATTTTAACTATTTTAATGGTTAGGTAAGAAGATTATTTTACAAACTGTGGATAGAAAATTTGACCTGGATTTTTAGGGTATTTCTTGCTGAGATTGTCTAAGATTAAATATGTCTTGCTTGCGTGTGAACTTTAGGGGAAGGGGGAAGGAAGGGTTTATGAATTTCATTGTGTGTAATTAAAAAAGAATATGTCAACCAGGTGTGTGGTTGTACACACCTTGTAATCCCAGCACTTGTGTGGTAGAAGTGGAAAGATCAGGAGGTCAAGGGTCAGCTTGGCTATGTCCTTGAGGCATCCCGTTGGCAATATCTAAAAAACACCAAATAAACCACATTGTGTATTATATCAGTTGTATCTCAGGTATGAAAATGCGTATTCTTCATAATATTTTCTTACTATAATTTCAAGTTCCAAATTAATTTAAATGTAGAAAGTGGAAAATAACCATTTCTGCAAGTCCATGTGTGTCTTCTTTGCCCTAGTTAAAATACAGACGAGGTAGCTGCTTACACACATCAAATAACTGTTGTTATGTCGAGTCAGGATGGCAGCTCCTTGTTTTACTCTAGATTGCATTTATTATTGAGACTGTTGATACTGAACTTTATTACAAATAATTAGAGTTGATTACTGTTGATTACTCGCTTTTATAATGAAAGGATCTATTTCTATTGAATTTTAAATTCCTTGCTTCAACTAAAACATACCCATTTTTTATGTTTCCGGTTTTTTTTGCTTTTTTTTTTTTTTTTTTTTGGTTTTTTGAGACAGGGTTTCTCTGTGTAGCTTTGCGCCTTTCCTGGGACTCACTTGGTAGCCCAGGCTGGCCTCGAACTCACAGAGATCCGCCTGGCTCTGCCTCCCGAGTGCTGGGATTAAAGGCGTGTGCCACCACCGCCCAGCCTTATGTTTCCCGTTTTAATGTGAAAAACTGTGACTTGTGTTTTTCTGATTTTTATGGAAGTGGTTTCTAAACTTTCAGCTTGCCTAAAGTAGTCAAAAGACGAGTGAATGCTCTCAAAAACCTTCAAGTGAAATGTGCACAGATAGAAGCCAAATTCTATGAGGAAGTTCATGATCTCGAGAGGAAGTATGCTGTGCTCTATCAGCCTTTATTTGATAAGGTAACGGTTTACACTACTCTTTAAAACTACCTCGGGAAAACAAACTTGGAAATGGTTTGATATTGAGATATCTGAATGGAATGGGTATTGGAGGTGTTTGTGGAACCATTAATAACTATTGAAAGTTGTGGTATTTAGTAATTAAATCTATGAGTCCTTAATCAGAAACCAATGGTTTTAAGCTTGGGTGCTAATGTTTTTACACAAGCTTTTTTTTTTTTCCTTTTAGCGATTTGAGATCATTAATGCAATTTATGAACCTACAGAAGAAGAGTGTGAATGGAAACCAGATGAGGAAGAAGAAGTTGCAGTGAGTACCAGTGGTGTTTTCCTGTACGTTCAGGTGGCAGGAGCATAAGGAGTTGTCACGAGTGCATTGATTGATGGCATGTGGTGTTATGTAAACAGCTTAGTAAGGTCTGGCTCTCAACCGTGTCCTTTTTTGTATGTGAATAACGCAGATGAACCATCCTTTAGCCTTCTATTGTAGTAGTTCGAGCTTTTTGTATTGTTTTCTTTGAACTCTATGGTGACTGTTGAAGATCCGTACAGTTTTCAAGTGACCTGCCTGTAGTCGGTAACAACAGCTGTGACATGTTAGGCGACCATTGCTTTTAGAGATGTAATCAGTACATTATTCTGATTGAATGTCAGGCTGAACATTGGGCAGGTCTCTGTTTGCTTTCTACGATGTTCCTGCAGCCCTTGATCTCTGCCTGGTGCCTCTTGATTTCTGTGGAACTGAAGTTCGGAATGAGGGCCGGCAGTATGTGCACAGTTACACCAGACCTTTGTTGATTGAGATTGAAAGTTAGGCCACTGTCATACGTTTATCCAAAGACCTAATATATAATTCAGTTGTTTGCTGTCTTTTTCAAGGAGGAAATGAAAGAAAAGGCCAAGATTGAAGATGAGAAAAAGGATGAAGAGAAAGAAGACCCTAAAGGGATTCCTGAATTTTGGTTGACAGTTTTTAAGAATGTGGATTTGCTCAGTGATATGGTTCAGGTAATTTAATTCATAAAACCACCTGCTTACTAAAAGAAGCCTGACATTTAAATATCTTTGGTTGCTAATTTCTTCAGTTGACTTCTTATTTATAGTTTTATATAGAAAGAAAATTTGTCTTTGATTAATCCAAGTATTTTAAAAGTTTAGTAATGAAATAGTATCTTTGTGATTGATTATCAGTTGGTTCTTCTCATAGTTCATAAGACCTTGTTTTCCTATACTTTAGTATCGAGGGAGGGTTGCTGAGAAAATACTGTCTCATTTGTGTTGCGCTAAAACTTGGGACTCCAGGGGAAACTGGCATTGAAAATAGGAAGCGATTTGACTCCCTCCCTGGGAAAGCAGCAGATGTTAACCTCCTTTGGAGCAGCTGCCTCGAGTTCTAGCCATTGATTGTCCTGTTGGGCTGATCGCCCTGTCTTGTGCTTGCTGGAGTAAACAGTGACCAAAGGAATAATCTCAGTGGGTGCTGACTGCATTCCTGCGATACCCAAGTAGAGAAGGAACAGTTTGAAAAGGCATATAATCAGGAAACATGGTTTTAAAAATGGCCTTTTTGGGGCTGGAGAGATAGCTCAGAGGTAACGAGCACTGACTGCTCTTCTAGAGGTCCTGAGTTCAATTCCCAGCAACCACATGGTGGCTCACAACCATCTGTAATGAGATCTGGCACCCTCTTCAGTATATATAATTAATAAATAAATAAATCTTTAAAAAAAATGACCTTTTTTAGACTTGCATTTTTCAGGTGGGTCCCTCAGTATGAGGCAGCTTCAGTGTAAACCATAATAATATGGTGGAGAAGTTTTAGGGTTCATAGTTCCTATACAAAACTTCACTGTAACAGATGCTTTCTTTAGTCAGGAGTTTTTGTATAGTAACAGAACATTGACCCTCAAGTGCCAAATGAGATACTCATTTTTATTTTAATTTATAGGAACATGATGAACCTATCCTGAAGCACTTGAAAGATATTAAAGTGAAGTTCTCAGATGCTGGCCAGCCTATGGTAAGAAAGAACTTCTAAATCAATACTTAGTTTTGTAATGTTTTTACAGATGAGTTTAAACATGATATTCTGGAGTTAGGGATTAGATACATGTCTGCTTGCTCTTGGTGCTTGTGGTTCTGTACAGCCAGTCAGTGATCCTTGATAAAGTGATAAAATATGACAAGGTAGCAATGTGTTCAGATGTGTGCCTGGGAAGGACTTCAGGTAGCTGGTGCTAAAGGGCTCCGTGAGGAGAGAGATCAGCTAATAACCCCTCCTGTGCCAGCTGTGGGCAGTGCTGAGTAAAGGCTCAAGAGTTTTCCTGTGTCGAGTTGGGCCTAGCTTCATATCTAAAAATTAGTGTCTCTGTGGGGATGGGAAGAAGGGGCACTTGGTCATTTATTTGGATTTACCTGCCCTAGATGATTATTTAAGTTGAAACATAGTGGTTATCTTATGCCTTTAACAGAGTTAGGGGTGTCCCTTACATTCCTGTTAGGATTGTGTTTCAGCTCGCGGAGAGCATTAGACTGGGATGCATGCTTATTAAGCCCCAGGTCAGGCTGTTTACTGATGCGTTGAAATTCATGGGCTGAGAACTTAACTCACTTTTCTTTTCTTTTAAAGAGTTTTATCTTAGAATTTCACTTTGAACCCAATGAATATTTCACAAATGAAGTGTTAACAAAGACTTACAGGATGAGGTCAGAACCAGATGATTCTGATCCCTTTTCTTTTGATGGACCAGAAATTATGGGTTGTACAGGGTGAGTTCATTGTACGGCTGTGTTTTCTGTTTCACTGTTGGCAGAGCTTACAGTATTGCAGTCCCTTGTGGGTCTGTTAGATTTGTCCATTGCCAGACACCGTCGTCGGTCATTTTCCTCTGAGTCTGGGAAAGAATACACTGTTTATTCACTTTATTCATATCATGTGTTATTGCTCGTGTAAATCTACAGATTTTAAAGTTTTGTTTAGAAAATTTTTCTGCTAACTAAGCCAATTATCCTGTAAAATTTTAGTTTGACATGAACGCTTCTAAAAAGATCTAGCAATCAAGTGTGTTAAAATATAAAATGTAAATATTTTGTTTCCTAAGGTGCCAGATAGATTGGAAAAAAGGAAAGAATGTTACTTTGAAAACCATTAAAAAGAAGCAGAAACACAAGGGACGTGGGACAGTTCGAACTGTGACTAAAACAGTTTCCAATGATTCTTTCTTTAATTTTTTTACCCCTCCTGAAGGTAAGTAGTGTCTTAGTTTTGGTCTTACCCACAGGTGTTTATTGTAAACATTGTTTATTTTTTTTCACATTTGGATTTCTTTTCTTAATTTTGCAGTCCCTGAGAATGGAGATCTGGTAAGTTGAGTTTATTTTTTCAATTTAGTATACATGAAATTAAAGAACTAGATCTTAAATTATAGTATGGGCTGGTTGAAGCTAGCATTTTTTTTCCCCTCCTTAAAAGGCAGGCTCCTTGTGGCACTGACTGGCCTTGAACTCACAGAGATCCACCTGCTGCCCAGGTGCTGGGATAAAAGACAAGTGCCATCATGCCTGCCGAAGATTTAGTACTGCTTTATGTGTATTAATTTCCTGTGTGTGTGTGTGTGTGTGTTCCACTTGTGTGCCTGATGCCTGCATGAGTCAGAAGAGAAATCCCCTTGAACTGGAGTCACTTACAGTTGAGTGTGAGTGGCTTTGTGGGTGTTGAGAACTGAATCCCCAGGTCTTCCGCAAGAGCAGCCAGTGCTCCTAACCACTGAGCCTTACCTGCTGAGCCATCTTGCCAGCCTTCTTTTCTTTTCTTTTCTTTTTTTTTTGGTTTTTCGAGACAGGGTTTCTCTGTGTAGCTTTGCGCCTTTCCTGGAACTCACTTGGTAGCCCAGGCTGGCTTCGAACTTACAGAGATCCGCCTGGCTCTGCCTCCCGAGTGCTGGGATTAAAGGCGTGCGCCACCACCGCCCGGCTGCCAGCCTTATTTTCATCCTCTCCCCCCAACAGGGTTTCTCTGTGTAGCTTTGGATCCTGTCCTGGATCTCGCTCTGTAGACCAGGCTGGCCTCGAACTCTCAGAGATCCACCTGCCTCTGCCTCCTGAGTGCTGGGATTAAAGGTGTGCGCCACTACCCGCCCAGCCTCAGTATTTTCAAAGGAAAATTGCCTTCATGTAGCAAAGTTGCTTTTGCCTTTTGCTCTTTAAACAAAAAGCCCTCTATCATATATAAATAGTCCTATTTATTTAGTATAATTTTGGTTTGTGTATATGCTGGCCTGTTAACTTATTTTTAGGTATTAATAACTTGCAAAGCTAGCACATGTAGATGACCACTTATCTACATGTGTAAAGTTTAAAGTGACAGGAGAACAGGGCTAACTCACGTGACAATGCTTCTTACAGGATGACGATGCTGAAGTTATCCTGGCTGCAGACTTTGAAATTGGTCACTTTTTACGGGAGCGGATAATCCCAAGATCAGTGTTATACTTTACTGGCGAGGCTATTGAGGATGATGACGATGATGTGAGTGCCCTGGAATCCTGCCCTGGGGCCGTTTGGGAGGGTTTCTGAGATTTATTGTTCTATAAAAGTAGGGCAGAGAAGAATTCATAATTCAGCTAATCCTTTGGATAGCTTTTCTCAATTTAGAAGTCTCTAGGATATTTGGATTCTTTTACTTTCACTTTTAGTTTTTTTTTTTTTTTTTTTTTGGTTTTTCGAGACAGGGTTTCTCTGTGTAGCTTTGCGCCTTTCCTGGAACTCGCTTTGGAGACCAGGCTGGCCTCGAACTCACAGAGATCCGCCTGGCTCTGCCTCCCGAGTGCTGGGATTAAAGGCGTGCGCCACCACCGCCCGGCTCACTTTTAGTTTTTAAAGATTATATATACAGTGTTTTGCCTGCATGTGTTCCTGCAGGCCAGAATGTCATTACAGATGGTTGTGAGCCACCATGTGGTTGCTGGGAATTGAACTCGAGACCTCTGCAAAAGCAGCCAGTGCTCTTTTCACTGCTGAGCCGTCTCTCCAGCCCCCCTGAAACAACCAGACCTCCTGAGTGTTTATGATGGTGTTTATATGGGTAGTCTAGACTCTAAAGAGATCTTAGGGGCTGCTTCAGCCTGTAGCTAGCACAGAACTGGGGAGTTTTCGCCACTTAATGGCATTTATGGTGGTGGTTTCGTTTTTACATTTGGTGTTCCAAACGATGGGTGTTTACTAATGTAAGTACTGAGTGTTTCCTCACTTACTGTTACTCATTCACACTTTTGCCTGTCTTCTTTTCAGTATGATGAAGAAGGTGAAGAAGCTGATGAGGTAATGTTTACCAAATGAGCAAATAGTTCACTGTATAACACATTGAGGAGCAAATTGAGTGATTAATGTAATCCGTTGCTATAATCATTCTGTGATTTGGGATAAATTTTATTTGGAAAATATGATTTTAGAATTCTACAGCCAAACAATGTATGTATAAGGTTTCAATAAATAAATTGCAAAACTCAGCAACATTTTTTTTTTTTATTTCAAATAATTTTGTTCTGCTGCAGGGTTATCAGCTCTTTGAAGAAGTCAAAAGCTGCAGTAAACTTTTCCAACGTTGGCTGCAGTAAATCTTTTCAATAAAAGCTGTCTGGATGTCTCAAGTTGTGTTGGGAAATTTTTCATGTTAGAAGCTTTCAAATTAAATTGTATTATCCACAAACTCTGTAATCATGAAAATCTGTTGACCCGTAGAGTAACTTGTACTAAAATTTCCATACATTGTGAGCCGAGTTTTCCTAATATGTACCTACTTCATGGATGCATTTTGAACTTTAATATAGGAAGGGGAAGAAGAAGGAGATGAGGAAAACGATCCTGACTATGACCCAAAGGTGAGCAAACCCAGCGCTGTTTCTTTTACTTTAACTTTGACTAAAGGGAGTCGGCCTTGGCTCTTTCTAAGGATTCAACATGTATTGCTTGGGTTGTTTTCTACCCAAGGGCAGTTAGAATTAGTCAGCTACAGGAGCTCTGGGGGCAGGAGTGCTCTGACCTTGAGGGCAGTGCTGGGTGGTGATTCTCCCCACCACCGTTACTGTTAGAATTTAATCCCTACAAGTCCCAGTCTACAATTTCAGGGTTAGGGGAATTTTAGGGTTAGTGGAAGCTGCTTCTCCCTCAGAGTCTGTAATAATTCGCAGGACTCATTTAAAACCTAGCATTTCCTTTATTTTATTCATCGACCATATGCTGTGGAATTTCAGGAAGGTGTTTAATTAAGCAAGTATAAGGGAAGTAAAATAGTATTTTGATAGGTATGAATTAGTCTGAATATAAATATCTTGGAAAATAAAAGGACAGATGATAATTGCCGACATGTCCAACATGGTGGTCTTTATTGCATACTTCAGTGACTTGCTAACTTAAGTCATGTGTCACTATCCCATGTCACTTGTTTACACCAGACTGGAGGTAGTGTGATAATAAAGAAGTGTTGTGTGACGAATACCAAGCAGGTGGGAGGTAGATTGACGTGTTGTTTTCCTTTGACAGAAGGATCAGAACCCAGCAGAGTGCAAGCAGCAGTGAAGCAGGAAGTCTGGCCCCGAGGACGGCCTACCCTGTAATAGCCTAAACCCGACTGTCTCTTACTTACAGCCTTATGTTTTGTACTTTCTTGGTAGACTCAGTAAGTTTTTAAAGGAAAGGAAATGGATATTTTAAAGACCAATTTGTTCTACCTAGCATCCCAACTAGAGTTCTGTCAGATATGTTGAATGCATAAATCCTTGCTAATGCATGTCCGTTTATTGCTGCAGCTTGGTTCTTCTGGAATATTTTCACCATATTGGAATACAGTTATGAAAGTCAGCTGTTGAGCATATTGTTTGGTGTAGCTGTTTGTTTCCTAAAGAACCAAAGTTGTTTGCAGCTGATAGAACAGGTTGGAGTCTGCCTGCATTAGCTCCTGCTTCTGTTACGTCGTTAGGGGATGATGCGGTGACTGACAGATTGGAGGAAAGGAAATGGTGGTGACGAATTTCCAGTTAAGATCAAACCTTCTAACAGATTATTAAGGGAGTTTTATATTTTATCATAGCAAGGTGAACAAACCCTAGGTTTTTTTGTTGTGTTTTCAGAAGTTAATCTGATAGTATTTAAATGTACTTTGAAAATTAACCTCCATTAATTATCTTTTCTTTGTGGTAGGGCCTACCCTTCTGCTTTCCTGGAAAGGATGGATTTACATCATTTGAACCTATTTTGAATTTTCTCGTTTGTTTGCCTAATTTTGTTTTTATAGCCTAAAATAAAAATGTTCTACAGTCTTAGCTCTCACAGGATGATGTCTCAGTTTGTACTGATGGAGGCTATTGCAGAGGGTTAGCTGGAGTTCAGGGATGCCTAGTTTTCCATATTGAACACCCTTGGAGGTGGCAATACTTCTGTGCTTTTAAAAGGGGGACAAGTAATGTGTGATCTCTTTTTTTAAAATTTTTTTTGGCTTCTGTGTTTCTGCTCAAGGATGAGTCGTGTGTCCTCTAGCCATGCTCCTGTTTGCTGTGGACAGTTACGAATGGGTAGTCCTGTTGATTTAACTACCTCACAGATATGTTAAGGCATACTGGGGTAAATCTCACAAACTTTCTCTGTCTTACTAAATGCTCAAAAAAAAAAAAAAATCAGGCCTTTGTACCACATTGCAGTCACACTAAGCTTGACTAATTAAACTGGAGAATGAAGTTTAAACACCTCTATTATAGGTCTGAGCATGTGGCTCCTATTGTAGTGGGGATGGATGAGATTAGTGTGCAATTTCAAGAGATCGATGGGTTGTTTTTATTTAGTTCCCCCCCCCCCCCACTTTGGGGTTTCAAGTGACCACATTGTAATAGATCCCAAAATGGTAATGAGGCCATTGCAGGGGAGGGTGACATTAAGTTTTAGATACTGAGAGCTACATTAAAAATACCTCAGGCTAATTACTGTTCATTGGGGGGAAGGAACTTTTCTTCACAGGGTATATTGATTGGATTGTACTTGGACAGTCTATCGTTCCTGCTGTTAATAAAATTTACATCAAGTTTTTTTTTCTTTGGTGGAGAGGTGATAGCTCTTTGTGAAATTTTTGTATTGAGGTCTTAGGATGGGAACACATTCTGTAGCTGACCTTCCTGAGATTTTTAACTACTGGAAATCCTTAACCAATTGCATTGTCTCCTTTATTTTGAAAATACTTTGGTTGCTTTCTATTAGATGGTTTGTACTATTTTCTGTAATCATAATCGTCTAAACACAGCTTATTTTCTTGAACATTCAAGTTTGTGATCTAAAGATCGAATCCCATTTTCAGTGGATTTGGAGAGCTAGTGCAGTCCCTCCCTCCCTCCCTCCCTCTCTCCCTCCCTTCCTGAGGAAGTAGCTGTTGCCAAAGGAACAGTAGCTGCTGCTTGTTGTGGAATGGGAGTGTGCTGTGTGGACATGGGGGTCAGTGTTCATTACGACATACTGTCAGTCCCCTGATGGGTCTCTTCCATTCTAGAAGTCTGAAATGTGTAATTTGAAATCCTTAATAAAATTGGATCTAATTTTATAAAATATACTGGTGATATTTGAAGTTTTTACAACTATACATCATTTCTTTGAAGATTGGAGAGCAGCTATTCTGCTCTGGAGAGCACTATGCCTGTTAAAATTCATTTTTAAGAGGACCTCCTTAGACATGTAAGTTTCTGATGTGAAGAGCAGAAAGAAATTCCATGGTTTATTCTTCATTGTCTATAATCATTATCTTTTGGACAATTCTGATTTTACATTTGCAATGCTTAAACTGTCCTATTCATGGGGTGTCAAGAAGTTCTCTTGTTTTCCATCCAAAACATGATAGAAGCCCTGTACAGTTCTTTAAAAACACAAACTCTTGAGAAAGGAATTTGGAAGACCGATCAAATCTGCTAGGTGGACAGAGTAGTCTCACAACTGAGTAGCTTACTCGGAATGTCTGGGAGGTGCCTTGCAGTTTGCTCAGATTCAAAGCAATGCTAATAGTCACTCTTCTGTATGGGAAGGTAGACGTCTTCATTGTTGGCGATGGTGAGTTAGCAACAGAAAAATGGAATTCTACCTCTTATTAGCTCATTTACACATTCACATTAGGAAGAAGACATTGGCTTTTATTTTTTTGTGTGCTTAAGTTCAGGTGGTGTATGTTAAGCCTTGAGGTAACTGAATTCAAAGTTTTTATATTACTGTTTGTAAGACAGTCTGAATTTGTGGGTTTATTTTAGTTACAGGCTAATCACATTGAAAATTACAAATGAAAACCGTATCTTGCTGTGCAGAAATAGAAAATCTAAAATATTTGAATGCTGTGATTTCAGGGCTTCGTGTGAGATTTATAGTTCATTTTTAATGGTTAGTCTAATAAGACAGCCTTTAATTTTGACTTTAAACCAAACACTATTTTTAGATTTACAGAATATATAATCCAGAAGAAGCATAATTTATAGGGACTTTGGAAAACATGTGCTATCCAGTTTTTAAAAATCCTGTATTGTATATATATCTTACATCCTATAAACTCAATTTTGTTTTAAAAGTGGTAACTGGCCACTTTAACCACCAAGTTTCTAAAAGTAAATGTATCTGGCAGTGGCAGAGTGGTTCTGTTATTAACAGATGTGTTATGTGTACTAGTTTACAAATCCAGACATTAAACTAACGTGGATTAGAAACAAGTTCTTGGATGAAATAAGGTTTATTACACGTTTTAGAGTAATAGAAACATTGGTATAGGAGTTACTTTCATTTAAAGATGCTGGCATCAGTTTCCCTCCTGATTTTCACATCCTGTTTCTTACTGACATCTAGTTTCAGGGTTTTCAGGTTCAAAATAAGTTATTGACGGATATCAAGAGAAATTCGGCACAACAGTTGAACGGAAATGAATCATTAATAGACTTTCAGTTTCACATAAAGCTCATGGTTAAGCTGCTTAAAATAGAGGCTGTGCTTTCAAACTACATTTTTAACTGAACAGGAATTGGGAACAGCTAATGCAAGGGACAAACGCAACAGTTCATGACGTTTCTGCCAGGATACAAACTTGGGGCTGGGATTTTGAAGATGAGCAGGAAATGTGTTCCATTGGCCTAGAGGAATGAAAAACTGACATACGTATGGGATAGAGGCTAGGGACGGTCCTAGGCAACTGGAGAGGACAAAGATTAGAGCAGGGGTACAGCAGAGAAGAGGTGAGCCAGGGGAGGTTCCAGCGTGGGTACAGCTGCTCCAGACAGTCAGTGCCAGGGATGGTGAGCCTGTGCTACATGAGATTTAGCCAAAGGAGGCTCAAGATTTCAGTTACTTTAATAACAATAGATTCCTTTGGCATTTTGCTGGCATTTTGTGTTCATTTACATACAGTCTTTTCCCTGAATTACTGGATGGAAAATTAAACATGGTATGCTGTTACTGCTGTATTTTTTTCAGTATGAAAGTATTCTTTAAAAGTTAAAAAAAATCTTAAAAATGCAATTTCAATTCATTTTGGTAATTATGTTTCTCAGGCTTGATTTGTAGTACCTATATGTTTTTGGATTTGTATGTAATTGAATAAGGCTTGAGAAGTTTTTCTAGGCTCATTATAGGTCTCTCCCTCATTTCTTAAAGGTGATGGGGGGTGTATTGCAGAGGACCTGGGTTCACATCCTACACAATGTCTTATATAACTCCTGTTCAAGGGAGACTCAGGGACCAGCCACTACAGACAATCTCATAAGCATAAAAGAAAAATAAATCTTTAGAACGAAACAAAAGCAGCCCAAACGGGAGGTAACCTTTTTCTTGGTTGAATTAAGGATTTTTAAAATGAAAGATACAGAATAATACATAAGTACAAACTGCTGATTTCCCCCCTAATAATTAGTATTTGAGCCATCTAGAAGTTTATTTTGTGATATGAATGAAAGTGAGAAAGGTGTAATTGTGTATTAAAACCATGCAATCCTGAATAATCTGTACTGTAGAGCTTTTAATGACCAGGTAGAAGAGGAACCCAGGTATTGGCAAGTCCTATTTGCCAATACTTTGATTTATATTAAAGATGTGAGAATTAATAAAATACATCTAGAACCGGATGTAATGTAACCGTAGAATTCGACAAGTTCTCAACACAAGAAAACTTAAAATTGATAGTTTTACTTTGTGAGCTTACTTTGGAAGCTAATTCTAGAGCTTAATGTGGCTTTAAAATTTTTTTTAAGTTTTTAAATATTTTATGTATGAAGTGTTCTGCCTACGTGTATGCCTGTACACCAGAAGAGGGCATCAGATCCCACTATAGGTGGCTGTGAGCCACCATGTGGCTGCTGGGAATTGAACTCGGGACCTCTGGAAGAACAGCCAGTGCTCGCTCTCAACTGCTGAGCCATCTCTCCAGCAGCCAGGTTTTAAAATGTTTACTTAGTGATTTCAAAGGCCACAGTCTTGCTTGGGTAACAGGTTCCTAGATACATGTAAATACTAAAGACTGGGTAGTATAGCTAGCCATGGCCCCACCTCAGTTTCAGAGTCAATTAACTTTAGAAAGCCCACGTCTGTGTGGCTTCTGTGGTCTGTTAGTATCCAGAGACGACAAGAAAAATGAAATGCATTTCACTTCCATCTTCAGCCTGATGTTGATCTGGCTGCCTTGCTTTGAACCTGTCTTACTAGATGACGGTGCCTTGGTTGGGTGTGAATTTGGACTTAGCATTTGGTGCTTCCAGCATTATGGGAAGACATTGGTTAAGTTTCCATTGTTACGGGCCTGAGTGGCCTCTCACTGTGTAGACCAGATTGGTCAACGCACAGGTCTGTCTGCCTAGCTCTGATGGGAAATAGGATTAGGAAGGAGCTCACTCAGGTGGAATTTAAACTACTTTGGAGAACAGGTTACAGGATTGGGGGAAGGCAGAGAGCCTTCAGTGTGGGTGGAGTTAATATTCATTGCCTGGAGGTAGATGAAGAGCTGTGCTTCCCAGCAACTCCAGTTTCTCTTATCTAATGGCCTCTTCTGGCCTAAATGCACTGTCATTAATGTCATACGCGCACAAGCACACACACACACACACCCACACACCATTCCCTGGAAGGAGGGAAGACAAAAGGCCATGTGCAGAGGTTTGGGGGTAGGAATTAGAGTGTCACAATGAGGGCTAGAGGGTGATTAAAGGTCTGGCTAGTACCTGGAGGTGGGGAATTGCTGTGCTAGAGATGTTCACTCCCTAGTACTTGCTGAGCATTTACAAGGCCCTAGTCCCGTGCCTAGCATACGGAAAGGGGGGTGGGG